ATTTCTCCAGAAGCCTAAACAATTAGAGGTTTAGTATCCTTAAACGGATTTTGAAAGTTTTTACATTTTTTCTTTCATTATCCTGTACTTTTATATTTCTAAGCTCCATGCTAAGTAATAAACTGTATTTTTTTTTTTTGCAGACTATGTTGAATAATCCTCCTAGGTTACTGGAATTGGAGCCAGAGTTAGAATTGCCAGGCCTGCATTACCTGTCTGGTTAGATTCTCCAATTCAATGGGGCAATTTGAGCATGTCGAATTTAGACTAAAGCCATATGATGATATCAGTGTTGGTTCCCCTAGGTTGCTCTAAGAATTCCTGTGTGGCATGCCATAGTGGTGTCTCAATCATGGAAGGTTATGAGCTCAGCTACCTCTTCAAATTTCAGCCATAGCAGATATTAACTGAACAATCTTTTTTGCCTTATCATGAACCGTGCATGGCACTTGAGCATTCAGAGTAGAAGCCAATCCTTCAATGTTGTGTAAATTCTTCAGGTTGGCATAAATCCGGGAATGATGTGCTTTGGATCTTGCATTTTCTGGTGATCATGTTAGGGCATTGGGGATCTGCATGAATTGCTTGTTTGGGTAGGTTCTTAGATCAGAAAACAGTTAGGCAGATGATTTGGTCAGAGCAGGATTTTCAAAGACAAACTTATGTTGGGTTGAACCTGGACCGGGGGAATCAATGTAAAGGAAATAGTGTAAAAAGAAGGGTGTGATCAACTTTTTGCTGCTTTGTTCACTGTATGGTCATCTTTTGTACATTTGGAGATTTTGCTTTTTGTAAATAAAAATGTGAATTATTTTGCTTATAAAAAATTAGATGGACTATTTTAGTTGTGCTATTCAGTCAGAAACCCAGACATATGTTGGATTCTTGTGAGTGGTGTAAAAGATTCGTCTCTTTTTCCTCCTAAGGCCATTCAGGTCCCCATGATCCCTCTTCCCTAAGAGCAGTCCATCTCTTTTTTGCCCTGCGTCACATTGAAAGATAATAGTAATTTCCTACACTTGTATCTCCACAAACCATTTCCTACACTTGTGATTTTTGAACATTCATTAAGTCAATTTTTCTCATTTGTGATTTGTCAATTTTGAATTTCCTTTCATACCTAGATGGGACATGATGCAGATATATTTGACGATTCTGACCCATTAAAGATCTAAAACTTTGGCATTTATTTGCACTAAAAAGAAATATTAACAAGGCAGTAACAACACTGATGTTGCGGAGGCAACTAGGTATAGGCAACTTTATGTTAGTGTAATCCATTTTGCATGAATCGTTTTTCCCCTCTTTTATATTTCATACAACCTTTTGGCTGCATTTGGTTGTGATGCAAATCTGAACTAGATACAAGTTTTGCACCTGGTTCAATTTTGCATCTACTTGTTTGTAATTATAATTTACACTCCTACTTGACACAAAATTTGTAATTTTTGTCTTACTAGATCCAAACAAATATCACAACATTGAAATCTTGAAAAAAAGCAAGCAGCAACACATTAAATCGAAGCAAGGTGCCTTGCCCTTGCCTAAGAAAGCCTAAGAAAGCAATACAAGAAAACCGTTTAAGTTTGAAGTAATGTATGTGAAACAATTGTAAGAAACTATGCAATATTGGACTAAAACCAACAATGAATCAAGAGGAATGCAATTTATTAAAAATCAAGAAGGGTTATTTTAAAAATTAAAAATGGAATAAATTCTTTGGAAATATTGTGGAAAAATAGGAAAATTATTTAACCAAATTGATGGTGTTCAAAAAAAAAGTAAAGAAATCCTAAAAATAGGGAATTTGGTCAAAAAGAGATGACTCTTCGTAGACAATTAAATGTTTCTTTATTAAGAGAGGAGGCATTAAGGGCTCAAAAATCCAATGTGAAATAAACTGAGTTAAACACTGTGATAAAAAACAAAAGAAATTTTCATATTGGTACAATGATAAAAATAAACCGAAATAATATTTTTCACTTCACTGGGAAGGATAGAGGCAATTGGTTAGTGAATATGAATGATATAAAGAATCATTTTCTTACAAAATTTACATATAAATTCAAAGGAGTGAAAGTGAAAATATAGATGGAATCCTGAATTCCTTTAATCAATCGGTGGTTAAGGAGTAAAATGAGGACTTAGTAATGCACAAATGATGAAGCTTAGGAAGCTCTTAACTCTACGGGAGATCTTAAAGCCTCTAGCCCTAATGGACTAAATGTATTTTTCTATAAAAAGTACTAGCAAGCAACCTGTGTGGTGCATGTGATTAGTTAGGTTTTAAATGTTAATACATGTAATAAGTCACAGGTACATGATTTTTATTATTTGAGAATCAGTATAAAGAGATGCATCGGCATAAAGATAAATTAATAGTTATATTTAGGAAAATTTCTTTTATTTAACCCAACTGAAGCAAAGCAATTACTTGTCCAAAGGCATATGGTACAGCTGAAACATTCCAATTACTACCCGCTCTCTCTGAAAGTTGTCATTTCAATGGCCACAAATGGCTAAAAAGGTTGTTATTATGCATCCCAAGGAGAAAAAGTAGAAGCATAGATAGATCTCATTGCATTTGTCGATACAAATTTTGTGCTAAATTTGGAGCACAAAAATTAATGAAGACAAATCAAAGAAATTTATTTATTTTCAAAAATGTAAATGGGATACAAATTCTTTTTTTAATTTAGCAAATAAAACCCTCTAATTCTCTTGTCACGAACACGACCCAAACTTGTATTTATGTCTTGTCACGGACATGATCCGAAAAGCTTGACAACTTGTGGTTTTAGAAAGAACTTGCAATGATCAATTGTATGCAAACAAGATGGGAGAATTTTTTTCAGTAGTAGTAATTCGGTGAAGGTTTCGATTGCAGCAACTCAAAGACCCAAATTCTTCAGCTAATGTGGCACAGAGCTATAGCGGTTTTGAAGCTTCAATGGTTGGGGAGCCAAAATTCTGATTCTTCTTCCCTTGATCTTGGTACAGCCCATTTCTTCTTCTTCTTTGTCAAAAGCAACGAAAGCAAAAGAGAAGAATTGGATAGCCGAAGGGGAAAATAAAATGATTTCAGTTGAGCATGCCTCTTGACATGCACATAGCTAATATCATTTAACTTGAAACTTTAATAACAGTGTGGGAKCTAGACTTCTTTCAAATTCTTCTGTCTTCTCTTTCCCTTCTCTTATTTTTTTTTATCCTCTTTTCTGTAAAAAAACCTTCTCTCCTCCTCCAAGGGGGTAGTTCTTCTCATCCCATCTCCCCTTTTATAATGAGTTGGGTTCATTTGAAGAATTGGTGGGTTCCTTTCAATTGCATTTAATTTAGAGGGGGACCCACTAGATTAACTTGGGATGCCCTATCCAATTCTATTAATATGGTCATCTCCACCAAATTTGGGTTAATCCAATCAACATTGATTGGTGGGCCTTGCTAAAGAAGCCACTTGGCAAGGGGTTGATCCCACACATATAAGGACTTTCACTAATCCGATTGGGCTAGTCCTCATTAGCCAACCATGTTTCCATTTCTATAGACCCATCACTTAATGTGTGATTGCCATTCAATTAGGTCCCACTTGAGTAAATCCCTCGAATTGATTTGAGTGAACCCTCAAATTTGGCATAATTTATTCAGCCATGATTTTTCTTAATTAATTTGGGTGTAATTATAGCCATTTAAATTGCCCCCCACCCCCACCCCCACCCCTACACGTTCGATTMATATTGGGCTTCAATTTCTTGGGCCAATACGTTAGAGGCCCCTATATTGTATCTCACCTCTTTTTTTATTATTCTTTTTCTTAGTGGTCCCAACAACTTTCTTACTAGACCCAACAAGTCCCTTCCATTCAATTTCAGTAAGTTGAAATTTATATACCAACAGCATTATATAGGACTTGAAACTTCTTACACAGATCCATGAATTAACCAAATCATATAGATGGGAGGCATGCTCTTGTTTTAAAAATTAGCTTCCACTTGGAACTTGAATATATTGATTAAAAAGTTTAAATTTAAGAATTCAGGAGCTGAGTAGTTATTTTCTTCTCCAATTTTATTGTGCTGCACTGTTAATTTTATAACAAATCAAAAAAAAAATTATAAAATCATGTCAGTAGAGAGTTTAGTTCCTTGACTATGGGGCATAGAGAGCTTCTGATACAGCTAATTTAGAAAGCTACAACTTTTTGGAGTATTTTCTTAAAAGCTTAGTTATACTTTCTTTTCACAAGGAGCAATGACCAGAATTCAGATTTCTTGCTCCTTGAGAAAGAAGGGTACAACTCCATGATGCATTCTACTGTCTCATAGATGATATTGCCATATGAGATCATCATGGAATCACAACATCTAGGAAAAATATTTCTTAATTCCTCCCTAGTCTTTGCCCATTGTGCCATTCCAAAATCAATCATTCTTTTCCTCTCAAATGGTTCAAGGGATGGTTGCCTGGGTTATTTCTACATAATCTCCCATTTTTGTCCTAAGAGATGGGAATGTTGTAGAGAAAAAAGCTAGGAGTATCTGTTGGTGGCTATTGGCTAACAATGCTATCCAGATAATGCAAGAAAACATATAAATACAAATGAGCTGGGTTCCTATAATGCAACGGCCGGCCACGAGTGTAGCTTATGTTAGCACCACTTCCGCATAGACTGATGCAATCTCTTCTTGGTACCACACTTTACCCGATTTTCTACAAAAACAGAGAAAAACACATTTCTTATACTATGATTTTACCTAAACATGGGAAAGAATATCTTATATAGAGATTGGCTGATTATATAAAATCAAAAAATAAAGCTATCGGAAAAGCAAAAAAAGTTAATACCCTGGGTAAATAAGAAAATAATATCTTATAGAGGGATTTTCTACAAGGATATATTGTTCTATTGGAAAGACATTGTTTTCCAAGTGGTCTCTCACTCATATGTTTATTCTTTAAACTTTATTTGGTCGGCTTCACTGTTTTAGTTGATAAAGATTGGACATATATCACCAATCAGAACGTTCTTACAACACCATGCATGCATACTCGATGAAATTCATCTAGTAGGGTATGTTTGATTTGCAGGAATAGGGGTCCAGAATCGGAATGGCAATCCCCCAATCAGAATCCCATTCCCACTATTTAATATAAGAAAAAACCAAAATGACAAAATACCCCTCAAATCTCTATCTACTCGAATCCAACTTTCTAACCCTCACTCATCCTTTCGTCACTCCCTCCTCCGGCAGAAGTTCGAAGTACTGATCTGAATCGAAACTCCGGCGATAGTGACGACGAGGTAAATTACCGTTAATTTTTTTTTTCTCTCCTCTTTCCTATTCTTCTTCTTCCTCCTCCTCTCCTTCTCTCTCTCACTTTATTTTTTCATTCCTCTCTAGTTTTTCCACTGCAGACCAGGCCAGGCCAAACCACAACAAGGTATGCTTTCCTTGATTTTTCTTTGTATGAAATGCATGTTAAATTTAGCATCTCCTTTCAAATATTTAAATGTGCTTTAATTTTTTTCCCAAATTCAGTTTGGAATGCATCCTTATGTGAGTATAGTTATTTGGTTGTTAGTTTTGTATGGTGTTTGAATTTTTCTACGTTTATTTTGTTGTTTGCCTGATTTAGCTCTATCTTTGTAGCTAATAAGTTTGAAAGATCTCTATCAAGTTGATTAGAGTATAATAACATTCTAATCTAATTTCAAATTAGATAGAAGTCTGATTAAACATGAATAGTGACAATAGAAAGCAAGAGTTTGAAATCAACAAATCAGAAACAATAGCAAGAGTTTTATAAACAAAATCCCATGTACTAGAGTCCAGTAATGAGCTTTCTTCAGAGAAAATATCAAAGAAAAAGAACAAAGAACAAAAAAATTAGGACCTTTTAGACTATGCTCATGCTGTGCATTGCCAATGGCAAGCAAGCACAGATCGGAGGGGATCATGTCAAATTGGGTGTTGGTTGAAAAAATTCTGCCAAATCCCTTCATTTAAGTGCTGATTTGGAGTTTGAAATCCAAGCAAAGTCAGTAGTCTTATGTTGCCAGCCCTAAAGAATTGTTAGAAGGTACTAGTGAGAATGACAAGAAAGATGACCAGCAATCATCTAAGAGAAATATAAAAAAGAACAAAAATAAAAGAAAAGAAAATAAAATCCATTACCACCCACTTGCATTTCCATTCTTTAGATCAGCACACACCAACAACCAATTATAGCAACCATTTGAAAGCAAAACCCAAACTCCACTTCAAATCCCAGCATTATAACATTCTTTCAAAATTTGTTAGTAGTTATTACATCCATCAACAAGGTTGAAATTGATACAACCAATAGAATAGTTGATTCTTACCACAAACCAACAGCTTGGGAGTTGGGTCAAATTACAGATAGTGAGTATCTGAGTGATATGTTTCTTTGCATGCATTAAAGCCCAAATAAGCTTTTAGTTCAGATCACAGAAGTTAATTGGGCCTTCAACCAACAAAGGTGATCTGTTTCTTTTGTGCCCCTCCAATATTTTCTAAGGACGGTAGGATCCTTAGAACTAGTGTTTATAGATTCAAGTGTTGAACATTGAATATGCGAAGAGCATTTGTGCCATCAAAGATCTAGACATGCCCATGATTTTCCATTATTGTGGTCATGCTGCTTTGATATGATGGATCACCTTATTTGCTATAAATTTTCATTCAAGGGCCTGTGTTTTCAATCTACAGTGTGGTGGGTTGACTACTTGGATGAAAGAGTTTCCATGTTTTCAGACATTTCTGCCAAGGCTTATGTTGCTTTCTTGGCATTGGGATTTCTCTCAACTTTATCTGAAGTGGCAAAAATAGAGGGGCAGGACAAAAGGTAGAAATTCAAATTTTGTATCAGGTAGGAAGGGATGCAAATTTTAAAGTTGTCATGACAATCATGATTAGGCATCACAAACTATAAATTTTTGGAACAATTACTCTTGAGCCTTGGTTTTTTTTTACCAATCCTCTAAACCAACCCAAGCCTAACTAACCAACTCCGGTTCCAAGGCTTCAACCTAAATCAAATCAGCTTGTAGTGGTTATAGTGATTTTACCTGAAACTTGAGTTTACTTGGCTTAGCAGGGCTTATCTAGATTGCTTCCTTCCCTCTTCCAAAATTCTCATATATGCACATGTCTAAAGACAATAAATCAACATTATTTAAGATTTTTTTCAGTAAATCAACATAGTTGATATAAGAGACACTCAAAAAACATTAGATCAATATGAGCGATTGTAGGTTTCAGGATATAGCATTTCTAATAGAAAACCAAGCTAGGCTCTTCCTCTCTTGAGAGGCTCCTCAGTGCTTGGTTCAAATTCCAATCTTTTACATTTTCTCCACTTCCACCTGTATGGTTTTACTTTCCACCAATGGGTCCTCTAATTGAAAGAACCTCACAAATTGACAGGTGTCAATGGAAACATACTTAAATTTTGATTCAATTTTTGTATAAATGTTTGTGCCATATTTCTTATCAGGTTTCTTCATATTATTGGYGCAACTGAATTAATAAAAAATGCTACTACAATTAAAGATGAGATGTTGTAGCTAGAGGAAGCCAGAAGGTTTCACATTTCCTTGTATTCACAGGTAAGAAGTTAAGAACTTGTACCTTCTTTGCCAATTGAAACCTAGCCTCTTTTTTATTCATTAGAAAGTAAGTGCATTTACCATTACAGGGTAATCAAGTATCAGCTAGAGTGCATTTACCATTTACCAATGTTTTCATGTAGTTCACATTATTGGCATTCAGTGAAAGTTAATACCTTTTGACTTTAAATGGACATGCTGCTAATATGTAGGTCTGTATCATTTATTGGACTCTGAGGTCTCTCTTTTTATTGTTCTCTTGTTCAGAATAGTTCTTTTGACTGATTACATATCACTTGGATCCTATAACTTTCCTACTAGTTCTGTCCTATATTGTAGCTTCCAGCGGAAAGGATTTTTCGGTTCTAGTCTCCAAGACCAAGGACACAACAGTAGCAGAAACAATGGACTACACTGACCTTCCACACTCTCAGATAGGAAAAGTAATCACCTTAGCTTATTTATTGCATATGTTAATAGGAATACAGAGACCTAACATGGTGAAATGGAAACTTTATCATCTCTTTTACCCTATTTTTGGCAGGTCATAGCTTCACGCTTGCTACTTTCAAGACAAACTATTCCTCATTACTAATTGACAGTGAACACATGTGTTGACAAACTTATGGAGTAAGTTGTTATCTTCCACTTCTTGAAATATAAAATAATTATGATCTGAATATTTCTGATAAGAAAAAGAAATTGGTCTGAACTGCTTGTGATGGTAATCTTCACGTACAACTTATGGAGGGATCACTTTACAATTTTTTGGACCTATACAAGCAGAGCTGGCCTCTATAATTCAAGGCATGAAACTAAGCTTTGCTTTGTGATTGGAAAATGTACAAGTTGTGAGGATGAACTTGTGTGCATAGGGCACACCATTAGAGAAGTAGGGTACCAGGTGTATGGAATAAACTGCTTGTTCATCTGGTTTTCAAGGTCTGCCAATGCCTTAACGCCCTTAACAGAAATATAGAAATCCAAGTTATTGAATAGGGAGCCATATATCTTTGGGGGAATGTGAGAAGGGAGAGGCTAGAGGAACTGGAATGTGCCTAGTCAGCAGGTATAGATTTCTTATAGGGTTATTTTTGTTATTTAAAATAAAATAGACTGGAATGTGAGAAGGGAGAGGCTAGAGGAACTCGTGTGAGCAATGTGGCAAGTGGCTTTTTGCCTCTCCTCTTTCCTTTTTCTATTATAGATGAATAGTCCAAAGAAGTTTTATGAGTTTTGCATAAGCAGACGCATATGGACCATCAGCTAGGAAAATTGTCCAAATTGTGAGCATTTCCTTGTATCTAATATTAGTGTAGAGGAGGTTTTATCATTGAGAGAAACCCTAGTAGTCACTGACATGACTAATCAAGTTCTTTCTTTCCCACCGGTGGGGAAAATATCCTTTATTGTTGTTCTTTCACATTCTTCTTTGCTCACCACCCCTTTTTTTTTATGTTTATGTTATTTCGTTGAGTCTAAAGCAGGAGAACCAGCTGTTTTCTTCCTTATGAGATATTTCTCCAGACCTACAAGGTGCTAAAACACACTTTGATCAGCAAGTGCATGCATGAACGCCCACCTCTCACTAAGATCAAGGATTTTGTACTATGCTCGTTCAACTTGAAAGCTGAGACCTAAGCAACTTCTTTAGACTCAAAACACATTTTGATTCATTTCTCTATAGAGGAAGATTTTCCGAAGATCTAGTTAAAAGAGGTGTTTAAGATCTAATCTTTCTTGTTTCATTTGATGAAATGGACATTTGATTTTGAGTCAGTTTGGAGACTTTTGTAATTCCACTTTGGATCAATTTTCCCTACCTACCGGTGATTTTTTTTTTTTTTTTTTGTGAACTTGTTTCTATCGATTGCAATGTTATTGGGCATGTTCTGAAATACGGTTTATCTCATTTAAATCTACTCGAAGACCACCCTCAATGGGTGTGGATTGGTTCTAGCAATGATGGGCTTTGGCAATCAATTTTTTATCAGCAACTACTTAATTATTTTATTTGCTATTTCAAGCTTGGACATAAGGATTCGGATTGCAAGCACAATATGTTCACGTAGAAAATAGAAACTACTAAAAAAGAAAAGGGTAAAATAGATTTCGTCATTGACCTTGATCATCCCAATGCCAAGAAGACTATACTGATTAAACGTTAAGAATGGAAACCACGAATAAATGTCCTAAAAGATTCAACGGAAGACACCCCCAATACAAATCCCCTCATTGTAGATCCTGTTGTGAGTCTGAGTTCTGAATAATTGAAGCTCTACTAACTGAACAACTACCCATGGTGAAGAACAAAAGTGGAGATGATGGTGACCCAAAAACTATATTTGGGAACATGTTAGGTGTTTGATAAAAATAACTTTATGAGCAATAGTGTAGATCATGACAAACATGCGTAAGTCTTAGATAACATGAGACAAAACCAGAGGTTAGCACAAGTTGTATTTGACAAAATGTTAATATGGACACACTGAGAAGGAACATGAAGATTGAGCAAAGAAAAGTAATTGGAAGCTTCGTAACACAAAACTACATGAAATAATAGAAACAGAACAAGAAAATAGTGTGGCGATGAAAGGTCGGGTTTTCCTTGGCCAAGGGTGAATCAATGGAGTCAAAACGGTTAGAAGATCAAAATCAATAAAAATGTGCATTTCCTTTTTAGTAGATCTCAACTCTATAGAGCTCAGGGTGTTCTTGAAGGCACATGCGCAATGATCTCTGACCATACAACCACTCCTACAAAGCAAAGTGGTCCCATTGGCGAGAACTCAATTAAAACTACTATACACAAGAGATAAATGGCTCAAATTAACATTGAGTGGCACTGAAAAGCAAAAGAAAGAAAATGGATTCTAAATCCAAGAAGATTCAAGAGATGCCTAAACTAGAAAATGTTCATGGATCCTCTAGAAAAAAAAAAAACAAAGGTTAACACCCCTATTATTCTTAATTTACTCTCGTTTTTTGTTTATTAACTTTTTCTATAGATCAAGCTTTCGCTTTTAGTTTTTTGTTTCAAGGGTAAGGTCTCATGCCCCCTCATTCTTTTGATTATTAAAAAAAATCTCTCTTTTTTTATAAATAATGTCATTTACAATATCACTACTAAGATATTAGTTAATAGGGTCAAATCTTATTTGATTGAATTGATTGGACCTTACCAAAGTACCTTTGTTCCTACAAGGTAGATTACTAATAACATGCTAATAGATTACATACAAAAAAAAAGATAAAAATGAAATTGCTGCTTAATTAGCAACCTAATAGAAGGTGAATTAGGTTATACAATTTTAAAATTTTGCTTTCTTAATGAATAAAACACATCAATCTACTCAAGTATGATAGCAATATATGTTCATTTAATTGATTGAATTGATTGGATATTTATTGCAATCATATTTGAGTAAATTAGAGATAAAAATGGTGGTTTTGTGAATATTTCATGTACAATTTTTGGTTTTTTTGTTTAAAAATAGAGATGGTATTTGTTGGGTGTTAAAGGTGGCTCTTGTGTAGTTTCTTCTCCTTTATTAGCTAAAACCAAAGCTCTTTTGGTGATGAATACTTTGTCCATAAGATTTCTCTTTTGGTGCAAAGATATCAAAGCTCGATGTTCTAGTATGTTTCTCAAAGTGTGTTGGATTCCCATTAAAGAAAATGAAATGGCTCATACTATTGCAAGAAAGTGTTTAAAATCTAATTTTTAGTTTATTGAGGTTTTTTTTCATTAATTGTCTCATGTTGTCAACTGTGTTAGTAGTTCTTGTTCTATTATTGATAATTGTTGTCCCTCTTTGATATTTTAGTTGTGGTTTATTTTGTAACGTGTTGATTGTCTTTATTTTTCCTTTCTTTTTGAGTTTGTTATTTGTTGTGTTATTTAGATCTATGTTAATTTATTATGCCTCATGTGGTTAGTATTGTTATAATGCCTAATTTTATTTGTAATTTATTGTCTTGTCCTTAATAAATAATTTTTTTCCAAAAAAAAAGATATTTAACTAATCAATCATTATTTAAATATAAGTGATGAACATCTATTTGAATATTTAAATGTTGCATTCAAACATTTTTAATCAAATTTGAAACACGTTGCATTTACGTATAATAAAATTGAAATTAAGAAAGAATGATAAAAAGAGTAAACGATGATATTAGGATTTATATAGGTTTAATCCTTTTGAGACTTACATTTTGTCATCAATGTAACTACTTTGAGAATTTACAATCTACTAATCATTTAGACTCGATAGGTGTCAACCAAACCATTTACATCAACATAATAAATTGTATGGGTATTAACTAAACCATTTTCCCACTAACTAAACTCGAATGTGCTATCTTAATTCACTCATCCTCCTTTAATCCTTAAACACTCAATGCCACACACTTTCACCTTTTTAAGAACTTAACATTGTTTCCGTCTTTTTCCTAAAAATTTGATATAGTTTTGCCTTCAACCCTTGAAAACTCAACATGCACATTTATTTTCCTCTTAAAGACTACATACAATACAATAACAAATCTTGTTCTTGTTTCCCCTTTATATCCTCGCTCATTTTTTTTGTAAGTTATTTGCCAAGAAATACTTACTAAGGTGAATGCATTCCTGATGTTCATTTGATCAAAAATGTTTTTTAGGTAATTTCAATAATTAATATTTTTTTCATAAAACTTCATTATTAAGAGGGGCAATTTTGTCTCATAGGCCTTATTCGTTTTCTCTTTTGGCGATTTATCTGAATAAGTATACTTTACTCGGGAAAGTATATTTACCTGTGTTCTTTTATTTCCTAAGTAAACAAAAATATAACCATTTTATCCTTAAAAAGACAAAATTAAAAGGAATAATATTATCCCATCATGTACTAGCAACTTTCCCCTATTGTGAGAAAAAATAACTTACCCACTTTGAAAAATGTATTAATTACTTGGGTAAATAATACCTAGAGAAAACAACTTTTTATTAGGCTTCGCATAAATTCACAAAAAAAACATGAGATTCTTGGTCAATGGGAACCATCCCCCCACCACCACACACACACACACACATTAAGTAAAAACAAATTGGCACATAATGTTTTGGCAACTTTTCCCCAAGTGAGAAAGTTATTTTTCACTTAAGAGAAAATCATCCCCCCTCACACACACACATTAAGTAAAAACAAATAGGCCCATAATGTTTTGGCAATTTTTTCCCAAATGAGAAAATTATCTTTCACTTAAGAGAAATAAGTGATACTCATAGAAAAAGTAATTTATCGTGTGACTCACAGTTACTAAAAATAAAATATGGAATTATTAATTAAAGGAAACATTTTCCCATTAACCAATTTTTCCCTCAATTTATCAAAAACAAAAACAAAACAAATAGTGTCTATAAGTTTCTTAAAAATAGACAAATACAAAGTATAATCAAATTTCCTTTGTTAAATTAAATATATCAATCAATCTAAAAAATTACTTAAATCAATAAGATGGAATTAATTTACTTGTTTAAAAACACGTCTCCTTCTTAAAGAAGAGATGTCTCATTTGTTCAATACATTTCTCTTTTTTTATTCTTCAAAAGATATTTTCAATTTTCAACATTATTCCCTTCAAAGTAAATTTATCAATTTAATTACTTTACTTTTCAAATTAATTACTTAATTAAGCATTTACTCTCTTTAACTATGAGTGAAGAATTTTATATCCAGCAATCATTCATTTCTTCAGCGTGACTTATTTAAAAAAAATTATTTTTGTCTTTTCACTTTTTACAATGTTTTTCTTATTTAAAAAAATATTTGGCAAACATTTTCAATCCTTTCATTAATAAGTAAAGTTTATTTTTTGCCTTTTAAAATAATTTTTTAATTTATACAAATAAAACAAAAGTCTATAAATTCTTAATCTTTCTCTTGTTATAAAAATTAACATTTGTCCTTGAAGATATTCCACCTTTTAAATAAGACAAAAAGTTTGACTTTTTCAACTTTTCTCATATTTAGAATATTCAGTTTTTGTCTTTTGAAATAATTTTTCAACTTTTATAAGACAAAAAGCTTCATTTTTCCAATCTTTTATGAATAAGACAATTTATATTTTACTTTTCAAGCCCAATATTCATCTTATCATATGTATCCTATATATAAATCAATGTGTCTCACATCAAAAAAGTTTTTCATTGCTCCAAACCCTTATGTTACACTTTTCTTAATTCTTTATCATTTTCAATCCACGCCACTCTTATTATGTCAAGTTATCATTTTATATTTATTTATTTCCAATCCAATTACCTAAAAATACTCCTAAAATTTCTCTCTTAAAATATATTAGTCACGTGTCATATTGATAAGCTACGGTGCCAAAGTGATTTCTTATGAAAAAGTAAGAATTGAATTAAGTTGAATGAATAATTATGCTACTTAAAGGAATTCATTTAAATTAGTAGTTAAATATATATCTATATACTAAAAGCAAAATGAGTACAGACAGAACACTCATTTTGCTTCGTACGAAATCTCAATATACGATGGTTGTATAAAATCCTATGAGATATTTTGTTGTTTTGGCACTAGTGAGACATGTGAATGTCCATAAACATTACTAATTACAAAAGTGTCATCATTATTTATTTCTTTAAGTTTGTATAGTTACAAAAGTATTATTATTTATTATCTTCAGTTTTTTACTAGTTAAAATAATCATTATTTGTCACATTAAGTTTTTTTTAATAGTTATAAGAGTGTCACTATTTGTCACCTTGAGTTTTTCTAATTATAAGAGTGTCATTAAAATCAATCATTGTTTTATTTTTATTTTTGCATATGACATTGAGTTTTAATGTAATTACAAGAGTGTCATTATTTGTCACATTGAATTTTTACTAATTATATGAATGTCATTAAAAAGTAAGCATTGCCGCTTTTTTAATTTTACATATGGCATT